GTTTAAAATATACGGTCGAAAGCATCAGCAACGTCCGACAAGCCCTAGCACGCTGCAAACCTAAAATGCCCTGCATGAAATTTGCCGCGCACCTGAAGCAGGCCGGATGTACAGTTCATCTGTCACTCGTGTTGGTGGCTGCACTGTGCATCTGTTTTATGATCGACGGATGTTCCTTTAATATCGGCATCTTTATATCCATCTGGTTATCTGATTTCGACGTTACACGACTTCAGCTTGACTGGATCGGTTCAATTCAACTTTTCACTACCTATTGCTTAGGTATGTTCTACTTATGGATAATAACCCAACCATATTTCCAGGACCTTTCACGGGTGCGATGATCCGACGTTTTGGAATATCCGCGGTATCCGTAGCCGGTGCTGTTCTTGCCTGTCTGGGTCATTTACTCACCGGTTTGCTGGCAACGCTGTCCACACTTTATGTCTGTTTTGGAGCCCTCAGTGGCTGCGGCTACGGCATGCTGTACCTGTGCGCAATCGTCTCGGTAACAACTAGCTTCGATGAACTGCGGCCAATCGCAATGGGCATAATGGCCTGCGGTTCGGGAATAGGTACTCAGAAATACTTTGTGACTTTAACAAGCTTGCGCTTGCATTTAGGTTCGTCAGTTTTAAGTCTTGCGATACCGTTGTTAGAGGAGAAGTACAGCTGGAGAGGTGCATGCATAATACTCGCAGGTCTCCTCTTAAATTGCTGCGTCTTCGGGGTTACCCTCAGTCTGAGTAACATCAACAGAACACCTCCATCGCCCCCACCAACAGGACCAACCAAGAAGTCAAGCGGCCTTGTGGATAATTTAGGTTTTCTGGGCTCCGGCTATCTCCAACTTCCTGCAGAATTGGGGGGAACAACATACACACTGCAGTCGCAGACGGATTTAAAGGCTGCACTGGTTTCACCGAAAATGCAGAGCATGCTGGGCAGCCTAGGATCATTCTCATATCTAGTTGAAGTTGAAAAACTGGTTCAAGATAATGGGCTCTTTGGCAAGGGACAGAGCCTTTGGAAAAACAGAAGCTTCATTATCTACCTTATCAGTCTCTTTTGCTATGCTCTCGGTTGTCTATCGCCAGTTATTCTGTTCTACGACAATCTACTGTTTCTTGGAATTCCCCAATTCACTGCTGCTACCATCATTTCCTGCTGCGGAATTTCTAATGCAATAGCCCGTCTCATTTTTGGCACTATTGCGAGTGTGACGAAAATCAAGAAGGTCTACATACTGGGATCACTTTTTGCCGCACTGGGGTTGATTACCATAAGCCCTTGCTTCAGTCGCGCTGCGGCATTCTTTTATTGCTACTCAGTGGCTGTTGGAATATGCCTGGGTAAGTCTACTGCAAATAACAGAAAAGCATGTTCTTCATAAATTTATGCAAACTAGGCTAAGGATTAAAGATCTAATGTCTCCGCTGAATCATTCGCTGAACGGCCAAACTACGGAATGCAGACCCCAATATAAATGTCTCTTTCGTTTGCTTAATAAAGTTAGTTGAGCATGGGAATATGTACCCCCCGTATTATTTGTGACCTTGCCTTACATTCCAGGAGGGCTGGGATTGGGGCTGAGCTTCGGATTATGATTAGGATAACGGCTAGAATCATCATTAGAAAAGCTAGGGTTAGGACTATGGTTATGAGTATTAGTGTCCGGGCTATGGTTAGGGCTAATGGGGTTATGGTCAGGATTAATGTTAGGATTAAGTTTTAAGTTAAGACAGAGATAAACAACCCTCTGTAAGCTAGCATAAGGTCACCTGTGGCCTGGGGAGTCCAGATTCCCATGTCCGACCCTGAGGTGTACCAGATGACAAATTTGCCCCAAATGTCCGCCAAATGCATGTTTAGGGGCTCACCTATGTTTATGGGAAGAGCTGGCTCCTGCAGTAATTACATGATAAGCTGATATGCTGGTTAGGATTAAGAGAAGTTTTACCGGGCAAGAATTAATCAATTGTTGGCATCTACAGGGGACTTTTATCACTACCGTCAAGGTTGTCCTTCCATTAACGAAAGGCTAAAGGTATCAGTTTCTGTAACAGCAATCAATTAATGAAGAAGAAGCTTGTCCCCCTTATGCATAAATCAAAACTTCGAGGTGGAGTGAGAAGTTTCGGGAGCCGACTAAGTGGCTGATAAATCAAGTCTTGAGAAAAACTTAGTCCATTGGTCTTCATTTCAAAGACCCTCAATCTGTGGACAGCTAAGTGAACTCTTGGCTTATTGTATGACTCGTTAATTATACACTGTCAAATGCTCATTCCATAAGTATTTTTGTTATCAGGTAAATCTGGTAAATCTTTGCAGTCATTAGCCTGAATTTACAGAATTCGGTCTATCCTATGAAGTGTTTAGCGGGATTCTGAAGTGTATTTTCGATTAGAAAGGATTGCCTAGGTGCGATTGTAATATTGATTACTATGCAAAGTAACCCCAAGACATTTTGGCCACGCCGGCATACCGGCATTCGAATGAGCCTCTTTTCGGCCGCCTGTAGAAACCATGCTCAGTAAGAATGCCTACGTAAACAACTTGAATTTCTCTCATTGACTTACGGGGTTCTTGTAAATTTGAATATACTTTATGGAAAACATGCCCAAAATACTCTGCTTTGCACTCATTTGATATCAAATTGCGTCTTTTTTGAAAGCCGTACTTGGAGAAAAGGTGCCATTCGGGTTAACAAAGTTTGTAGTTATGAGATTTTTGGGCTGACGAAACGTCCATTCATACAACATCATATCTGTCCGTCCACTAATACTTGTTTTAAAATGTACATCAGATTCAAATACATCGTAAGATTTTATCAGCCCTCCATGCTGTCTTCTTAGTAACGTAGGGAAATGTATAATTTTTCTTAAGAAAAATTACATGTAATTACATGGAAAGTTTACAGGGTGCAGTTTTGAACCTCCAGGCACAATAGCAACTGCAGTTCGGGTTCAAAACTATTCGGAAATTGAAAAAAAAAACTTTAGAACCAAAGGATACACTTTCGACAAGTATTAAGGTTGTAGAAAATGCATCTTCCTATCAAATGAGTACAAGAATGAGTATTTTATGCATGTCCCTATAAAATATATTTGAATTTATAAGGACATCTAAAGTGGATAAGGTGTGGTTTGGTAGCCCCACCTGATAGACACAATAGTGCTGGGGTTTGGGTTAAGGGTTGGGGATTAGGTTTAGAGATTATGATTAGGGGTTATAGTTAGGGGTAAGGGTTTAGGATTAGGGGTTATAGTTAAGGGTTACGGTTAGGGGTTAGCGCAATTATTTCTTAACCAATCAAAGTACACCCGCGCATTCCTAAGAGCTTTTCTTTTGCATACAACCACTTGCCCCCGTTGTCTGTGCGTTCCCCGGCTCCACCTGCAGAAGCCCCTATTTGCACCGATCCCGTAGTAGAGGTGACTGGTGTTTGTTTACTTCAGGTGAGACTATATAACCACATCCGGCCCGACAGTGAAATAGGGAAGTGGGTGCTGCTAAAATAGTCATTTAATTCCGTGTACAGTTTTCGCAGTCGACCGAAAATTAGTTCATTCTAACGCTGGCATTCTACCATGCGTAAAATAATGTTGAGTTATTGTAAACGACAGTTAGATAACATAGATAATCCTTTCTACTCAAAAGCGCATCTCAGAATTTCGATGAACGCTCCATGAGATAGACCAGATCTGCTTATTGACCCAATTGTGAAAAACTCGGCGTCTCGGTGGGACTCGAACCCACAACAGTAAGGGGAAGGCTTTAGTACAGCCAGCGCTCTAACCACCTGATCTACCAGGCCTCGCCGGACGACGTGGGTTTAATCACATTTGGGTCAGATACTGTACGTTCGCTGACCACTAACCAGTAAATTGTTATCAGGTTGCCTCCTGATCGTCCACATAACTTCTGTTGCTTGCATAACACCCCTACGAGGCGCTTTGAAGCGAATTGTTGCTGCTTCCTTCCTCGGCTTCACCGACTTTAGCCACAAAAAAAGAATGAAGCCCCAAGTGAGGCCAGACCGGAACTCTTAGCTTGTGCAGCTTTACATGTGATGTGAAAGTCAAGTCTTCTAAAGGATTAACATTCCGGAACGGACTTTACACCAAGTTCCATAAAGCAAAGGGCGCCCGACATCACCCGTACAGATGGGTACAGTCGTGCGCTGGGAATGCTTCCGGCGTATTTCCATTTTTATTCTGTTCTCGTTGTACGACGATGTGTCGGATGCGACATACTATAAGCTAATCAATGAATGCAATGTTAGGCACTAGATAACCATAAACAATGAAGAAAATAGTGAATTTAATCTAAGCAGCAAATCACATTCATCCAGAATTCGCAACGTCCGTTTTCTAAATCCCCGGTTGTTGCTTCTTGTCTACTTATGCAACTGGTGTCTGCTCTGGCAATATAATTATGGGGTCTCGCATGAAGAACGCCCAATTATTTGGACTAACGACAGAATAAAAATAAGCGTCTTATTTTCCCTATGGATCATTGTGGAACGTGAGTTCCGTAAGCCATCCATAATAGACCGATGAACGCTCTGTTGGGAGTGCCAACACTCCCAAAAACAAGGGCCAGACAATCACTGGAGGCAATGTGCGTTTCCTCTACCGCGCTGTCAGCATAATCGTGGCGCCTCTCCATTGGCTGCTCCTCTCAAGCCTCATCGATCCGTGCCTTCGAACCATCGACCAGCTCCTCTAGAATGTTCTTCTCGAGGTGTACTGGACTGGATGCAGGCGAACCACAGTAGGATGTTATAACTACACGTTACTTTCCTGTCAGAGGACCAGGAGTTTCATAATGCACTTTTTCGTGAACAGTCGCGTTCTCTTTCTCTGCCGCGTTGGTGTTGGGGACAAGAGTCGGGTGCGCGTACGTTCTATGTAATTTCAAGTACCAGGCCGGGTCATAACAAATTGGCGACGCAGTTTTCAACTACAACAGCTGACGAGTACGCCGTCTTGAAGCGAATGTTGCTGCAGCAGCAGCAGCAGACGAAGCTGATGGAGGTTCAGACCTTTAAACTATCCAACGCCTCCATGGGCCAATCACGCGCGGCTGGTGGCTCGCAATCTGTTGATCACCTTGCCGGCAGCATCACTGAATTCTTGTATGACCCGCAGGCCCATATCACCTTTGATTCTTGGTACAAACGATACGAGGACTTGTTCTCTGTCGGTCTGGCTAACCAAGATGATGCATGGAAGGTTCGACTCCTACTCCGCAAACTGGGTCCGGCTGAACACGAGCGTTATGCCGACTTCATCCTCCCCAAGAATCCCCGAGAAGTCACTTTCAAGGACACGGTGCAGACGTTGTCGCAGACTCTGGAGAGCAATGATCCCTTTCCAACACTCGATTTCAGTGCTTTCAACTGTGCAAACGGGATTCCGATGATTTCATCACGTATACAGGCATTGTCAGTCGTGAGTGTGAGCGTTTTCAGCTCAGTTCTCTCACCGAAGACCAGTTTAAAGGCCACATTTTTAGCAGCGACCTCCAGTCCCCCAAGGATGCTGACATCCAGACACGTCTCCTGTCTAAATTCCAACGGAACAACTCGATCACACTCCAAGATCTGGCGGCGGAGTGTCAAACGCTGATTAGCCTCTAGCACGACTCCGCCATGGTCCAGAACCCTGCCACGTCCTGCTCAGTCTATACGGTCTCCGCGGCCAAATCGTATTCTGTTAGGCGGCCCAAGCAAGTGTCCACGGCCAGATCACCGTAATCTCCTTGTCGGCACTGCGGCGCGTGGCATTCCCACCGGGATTGCACTTTCCGCCAACATCGCTGCCAATGCTGTAATCAGGTGGGACACCGTGGTGGGTTCTGCAAGTCAAAATCAGTTTCTGGGAGCAAGCCCGCCCCAGCCACCACTAAATCCAAGCACCGTTTCCGGTCAAAACGCAAGTCCAAACCCAAGTCTGTTGGTAATTCTCTAAGACTCTTGGCCACTTCCCAGCTCAATGCGTCTGGTCGTAGAAAGATTGTTGACGTTCTGCTCAATGGCCATGCAGTTCGCCCACAGTCGCGACACTGCCTCGGACATCACCATCATCCCTGAGAAACTCTGGCAGTCCCTTGGCAGCCCCACGATGCAGCAGCTCTTGCTGAGGCGACAACCGCGTGAGCCGCGAACAGCTCGAGTCATGGTTTTCCGGTCCTTAATCGATCAACAAGCGCATTGACTTCCCCTCTCCATATTCAGAGCTGGGACTTTGCGTAGGCAAAATAGTTGGCCGTGAGGAGAGCGTGAGGAAAACCACTGCCTCTGGTGTCAATGTCTGCAAACCCAATTGTCCAAGGGTCCACATGGATGACGAAGTCCGGCAGTCAGCAACTCGACTGCGTGCGATGAGCGTGGGAGCCGATAATCTTAACCGGCATACAGGGGCAGAACAACTGCATGACAACCGCATACTTCACTACCCGACCAGTCGAGCCGTGATGCACTCGGGCGCCGCCAACAGTGATAGGCATGTAGCGGCTTAGCAACTACATCCTATAAATAATGCAGAACCTGGGCAGTCCACTACCCCTATCTGACTCTGCCTCTGATGATGGATTCGAGTGGGAATCCGAACCGTCAGGCTGACAAAGCTCTTGTTCCAGCGATCGTGTCTCCTTCTTTGCAATGACGGTTGAGTTAGTCCGGGCTCTTCGTCTTTGCCAGTCAATCCTTTAAGACACCCATCTGCTCGTGTCTTCACAATTACCTTCGTGAACCTGAGTTGAAACTCGCGATAGTCGGAGATAGGATGCAAATATAATGAATGGCGTATCTTACAAATGATAGATTGAGATGTTGAAATGTGCTTTCGATAAGAAAGGATTACTGGGGGGATGAGGATATAATACTGACTGTCGTGCAACATAATCCCAAGATATTTCGGTCAAGCGAGAATGTCGGCCTTTGAATGTATGCCTTTGGGCCACTTGCAAAAACATATTCGGGGAAAAGGATATTTTTTTAAAAATTCGAATGAACTTTTCCAAGTGATATTATATTTCCATTTGTATTCAAATATCTTTTACAAAAAGCACGTACAGAGATATCATTCCTTGTACTCATCTGGAAGTAGAGTACGCGTTCTCTAGATTCTATACTCCAAGAAAGTGTAGCCTACGACTTCAAAATCAATTGGTGAATAAGTTCGAACCCGATCTACAGTTTCACTTGCGTTTAGGGGTTCAGCACTACAAGCTATTTACTTTCCATGCAATAAAATTCATATATTCGTCCATTATGTCAAAAAGATGCAATATAATCTGCTTAAAATGTTCTAATGGGTGTGAAATACACTTACAAGAAGCATTACTAAACCAACAGGTACGATTACGCATGAATGGACATTACACGGCCTTGTGTGTGTTTTCTTCAAAGTATATTGTAGCGAGACGGTCAAAATTTATAGAAAAGCGCATGTTAATTTATCACTTTTGAAGGCAGCTGGAAAGCCTATATTTAAAATCCGGCAATTTTCGAGTGACTAAAATGTTTTATAATTACGCTGCGTGACAATCAGTATTACGATCCCACCTCAGTAATCCTTCCTAATTGAACACTTATTTTATAATTTTGGTCAACATTTCATGTGATACACCATCGATTGCGTACGGGTCTCTATCCCTATCTTATATCGGTAGTGCCGACAGAGGAACTTGAGTGTTTTAAGTTCATGGCCAGAGCGATATGCTTGAATATATCTTAGGGCAACTAACAAGCATCAACTTTAAGCCCTTCGGGTTTCGGTAGACACGGGTATCTAACAACAAAGGTAGAACATCACTTAGAAACCTTGTCTCGGGTGCTGGTTTTCACTTTGTGCTGCAAAAAGCCTTCTTTGAAAGAGTAAATTCTCAGCCAGATTCCCTACTGAACAGGACGATGTACAGAATTTCAATGGTTTTTGTCCCTGTAATAAAGTTGGTTAAGTGAGTATCGAGGAGTCTACGAAGTATTGGTTTTGTTCGAATAAACAGGGCCAGGGTCATGAACTTCAAAATTCCAAAAATTGCCTGTTTTAGGCGGTGCGACTGTTCTTCACCCACTGGTGGTAGCTGATCTCGTCCAGGTTGAACGCCTCACAGAGGCCATGAGCTACGAAATCATGGCGTTGGGGCTGGGCTTTTGCCTCAGCACGCCAATGGCAACGCTATTTAATGGGTTACTGGGGTCCCGTAATGCCAGCTATTTGGTGTCAGCAGGACTGTTAATATTTGGCGGGGTCCTCGTCATTATGGCCCATCTCATGGACAACCGCTTAACTGATGATGACGTGGAACGACTGCGAAGACGTCTTGAGGCAGCTCTGAATTAAGCATGACACTGCGAACATCACCATGAGGTAAGCAACACTACTATTTGCTTATACCACCTACTTAAGGAATACGAGTAGATCGTGTTTTCACTGTCTAGCAAATAATCAGGCCTTGTGGTCACTTCATTGCATCAGAAAATAATTAGAGACTCATGCCTCTCCATAATCAGAGCACTAACCGCTGCTCCAGCTTACTGACATCAATGTGGATCTCTGTGGCTAGCATCAGCCACGACCACTTTTCGAACTACCTGGCGTCAGCCTTGCTAAATGGATTGAAGATACGAACGCCATGGTCCCAGAAATCCGACCGTATTGAATTGTAATCAACCAAGGTAAACGGATCGTAAGATTGAAGGAAGAGATAATGAACTAGCGATATTTAACAAAGGGACTACAACACGTTATTTTATGTTGGACTGACACAGGAGAGGGCGCTCTTTCTCACTCAGCTACTAACCTGGAAACAGCGTGAGTCATTTGTTGCAATAAGAAGGCCGCTCTTTGTGGACTACTAATTTTAATGAGGCGCTGTATACAGTAGTGCTGTGTCCCCGAGCAGAAGGTCAAGCCGGTTTAGAAGATGGTCCTTTATTCAGCGCAAACATAGGTCAAATTTTGACTTACCTAAGAGCCTCTTTCATTGCCTTTCTTGCGCATGCCTCGGCAGGTACGTATTGGCCTGGTGTACGAGTGTGAAAGGCATCCGGGCTTCTAGAATAATTATCCGGCTCCTGATTGGTTGTCTAAGTATGACCTTGGGGTTGATGGTTCCGTGTGACTTCTGGTTGGATAGTAGTGCTTCCCAATCAGGTGTTTTCCCGTGCGAGTTAGCTCGGTCTGGCCCTCGGCGCTCCTCGTAGCAATGAGATGTAATATACACTTAAAACAGGTGCAGATTGAATATTCACAGTTTTAATATCACCAATATCCTTGGTCTGATATCTAATCCAAAAGTTTTTTTCTATCCTATGGTAACTAACTGCACATCCAAGTGGAAAAGTCGGCGCTGGGATCCCAGTCAGGATGGAGAACATGACTTGCCAACTTTCTATAAGAACATGTGAATAGTCATATGACCGACAAACTTCTGACGTTGGAGCCCCTCCGGGAGTGCTTTTCTATTTGTTACTGGCATTTTGTCTCCCATGTAACTTATTTTTGAGGATTGGAAAAAAACTACGTTACTACCAAATGGCATGTCTGACAATTAAGCAAACATACAGAAAAACCGTCGGACCACTTATCGAAGTTTGGTAAGCTGTCACCAAGCGTTCCTCTCACGTCATAAGCATTCGTAGGAATTCTAAGTGCAAAGTGTAGAGCGACTTTATCAATGATTTAAACCATATCCCACGATAATGTTGCTTTGGATATTAATGTCTACCAATCTATTTAGGAGTTGCAACTTGGAAAAAATGTCACACGATTATGTAGCCATAATTTGCAAGGGTAGCGAGTCGTTGGACTTGTAAAATGTCTAAATACATAAGCCCCGTGATCTTGAAAACCTATGATATCGCAGCATCTCATTTTTTTCTGAAAAACCCATCCACTCCCAACAGAACTTATCGTGCTCTGAAAATAGGGCTTAGAGGTAAAGTGATTTTTCATCTTGATGTTCTCTTCCATTTGGAGTTCAACCAAATATTTGCACACAGATAGCTATACGGAAACGGTCCATTTAGGAGAACGTATTTTTACCGCCTCCAGCCTCAGTCGACACTCGAGTGGTTAGCTACCGACTAAATGTGTGCAATTGTAGCCTAGACGCCGGTAGACTCCTAAGGGTTCTCTCACTACTCATGCATTTACGAAGAAGCCAAAGAAATTTGGATGAACCGACTTTTACTCTTATAGCAGAACATCTGCATACTTCCTAGATGTAAACGTATCGTCATTTGTCGGATAGGCATTAATATCGAGAGAAAACGGATCAGTGAATATGAATCAAACATTATTTACAAAAATCTAAAGATTTCACAGACTACTGCCTATACCTTTCACTCAACTGAAAAAGCAACTTGATGTACGAGTGTGCATTTTAATGCACTCGGTGCGGAAACATTTAAAAACCATGTATTTGTCTGACACTCCGTTATTGCTAACCGAAGCACACAGAATGAACCCATTTATGAGCAGGGTCTTTTGAAATTTAGGCAGTCAAAGTAATGTACTTGCGGATTCACTCACCCGTGTCGTCAAACTTCCTCCCAATAACTGACTATATTAAACGTTATTGGAAACATATATGCATTAAATGTGTCCTCGTTTTGTAA